TATTTATATTTTAATAAAAAGCTTAAAGCTATTATTTAATACAAAAGTCAACTTCATATTTATGTACTACTAATAAAATACTGGGCTGGAAGAAGCACAAGCTGGAATCAAGATTGGTGGGAGAAATATCAATAAACTCAGATATGCAGATGACACCACCCTCATGGCAGAAAGTGAAGAGGAACTAAAAAGCATCTTGATGAAAGTGAAAGAGGAGAGTGAAAAAGTTGGCTTAAAGCTCAACATTCAGAAAACTAAGATCATGGCATCTGGTCCCATCACTTCATGGGAAATAGATGGGGAAACAGTGGAAACAGTGTCAGGCTTTATTTTTTTGGGCTCCAAAATCACTGCAGATGGTGATTGCAGCCATGAAAGTAAAAGATGTTTACTCCTTGGAAGGAAAATTATGACCAACCTAGATAGCATATTAAAAAGCAGAGACATTACTTTCCAACAAAGGTCCATCTAGTCAAGGCTATGGGTTGTCCAGTGGTCATGTATGGATGTGAGAGTTGGACTGTGAAGAAAGCTGAGCACCGAATAATTGATGCTTTTGAACTGTGGTGTTGGCGAAGACTCTTGAGAGTCCCTTGGACTGCAAGGAGATCCAACCGGTCCATCCTAGAGGAAATCAGTCTTGGGTGTTCATTGGAAGGACTGATGTTAAAGCTGAAACTCCAGTACTTTGGCCACCTCATGCAAAGAGTTGACTCACTGGAAAAGACCCTGATGCTGGGAGGGATTGGGGGCAGGAGGAGAAGGGGACGACAGAGGATGAGATGACTGGATGGCATCACCAACTCAATGGACTTGAGTTTGAGTGGACTTCGGGAGTTGGTGTGGACACTAGGCCTGGCGTGCTGCTATTCATGGGGTTGCAAAGAGTTGGACGTGGCTGAGTGACTGAACTGAACGGAATAAACATTTGGAAATCAAATTTTAAATTGTTTAATATTATCAAAAACACAAAGTTTATATGGATAAATCTAACAAAATATGTGTAAGATTTGTATGCAGAAAACTATATAACATTGATAAGAAAAATTAAATACTAAAAGATTCAATATTGTTAAGATATCAGTTCCTCATAATTTAATACATGGAACCAAAGTAATTCCAATCCAAATCCAGTAGAAAATTTTGTGGGTAAAAGTTAGCAATCTGATTTTATAATTTATTTGTAAAACAAAGGACTTAAAATAGTTAAAATGAATTTAAAAAGAAAAAAACTGTTGGAAATCTCATAATACTTGATTTTAAGACTTACTGCAAAGCTGCAGTAAATAGGTGACTTGATTTAGTGCACAGTCAGACCATCATATATATCCATACATAGGGAGTCATAGATAAGGTCCAGAAACAGATCCTTACATATGTGGTTAGCTGATTTTCAACAAAGATGCCAAAGTCATCCAGTACAGAAAGACATCTTTTCAACAAATGATAACTGAAACAGTAATGCATATACAGACACACACACACACACACACACACACACACAAGTGGGTCACAGAAGTTAATGTAAAGCCTTTAAAACTTCTAGGAGAAAACATAGGAGAAAATTTTCTTGGCGAAGATTAGGCAAAGATTTCTTAGGTAGAACACAAAAAGCATGAACCATAAAAAAAAACAAAATAAAATTTGGCCTCATCAGAGTTAAAAATCTTAAAAAAATACTTTAAGAAACCAAAAAGATAAACTTCAGACAGGGAGAAATTATTTGTAAAATATATATCTGATAAATATCCAATTATATATATATACATTTAAACTTTTACAATTTAATAACAGAAAATGCAAGCCAATACAAAATGAGCACTATATTTGAGAGAGTTCACTACAGAGGTATGGGTGGTACACAAGAGCTTTAAAAAAGATGTTTAAAAAAAACGTTCATTAGGGAAATGAAAACGAAAACCACAAGATATCAAGACACATCTACTAAAACGGCTAAGATTACACAACAATGTCAGCAGCAATGCTGAGTGTTGACAAAGACGCAGAACATCTAGAGCTCTGATGCACCAAGGGGCAGCTGCTGTGGAAAACGGCTCGGAGCCTCACACAGTTAAACAAATACTGGCCACACTAACAGATACTTGCCAATGAAATAACGCCACAGACCTGTACGCAGATGTTCACAGTAGTTTTACCCATAGCAGCCAAAAGCCAGAAACACTCAAATGCCTAGGCATTTAGATGGACACACCGATTACAGAATTTCCAAACAATGGAACCACTCAACAATAAAAATGAATTATGGATACATTCAAGAATATGGATAATCTGCAAAGCATCTGCTATGTGAAAGAATCCAGACACACAAGTCTAAATGCTGCATGATTCCATTTATATGAGATTCATGAAAGGCACAGAAAGTAGATCAGAAATTGACAGAACATGGGGGCGTGGCAAGAGGACTGACTATAGAGAAGCATCAGAAAATGCTTTCAGGTGACAAAAAAGTTCCATATCTTGATGGTTGTGATGGCTACAGAGCTGTTTCTATTTGTTAAAATGCAATCCATATGCCTAAAAAGGTGGATTTTACTATGTGCAAATTATACCTCAATAAATCTGACTAAAAAAAAAAATTCAGTGGCAAAGAGGAGGATTTAAACTAGGGAGTTTCAGACAAGCTGTACAATAGCATTTGTCCTTCTGGAGCTATATTAACATGGGTATGTTCTTCAAAAATGTTAATATTTCTAAGCAAATACAAATTTGAAACATTCCCAAATACAATATATATATATACACACATATATATATATCTTCTCCTTAAAAAGTCTTTAAAAATAACCGTCAGCATTACCAATACCACACGATTCTTAAATGTCCTGTTGATAAACTAAGCACAAAGTACCTCTTTACAAGTGAAACAGTTGCTCCAAGGTGAAAATAGCCCATAGTTTTAGCTCTACATTGTTATGGTTATTATATAAGTTAATTCAAATCTAGTTCTCTAATTTACTGAGCTTTTCTAATTTACATTGTAAAAATTTCCACTTTAGAGCAGTTTCTCACATGCTATTGCATTTTTGGTTTTTCTTCTGAGACCTTCTCTGTCTAAGGAACTACAACTAACCCCTCAAGACGGCTCCAGCAGCCTTCCTGCCCGGACACTGCATCTGTGCCAGGCTGATTCACTGGTTTCTCGCTGAGCTCTAAGGCATCTAATCTGTTTCCAGGATAGCACTCCTTTGGCATTTATTTGTCTCTTCTACTAAACTGAGAAATAGGAATTCTAGTTTATATATCTTTATTTGCCCAACTCTTAGTAACATGTCTAATATCTAGAAGGTGCTAAACACAAGTCTAGCTTTGAAAATACATCATACCTCAAACATCAGTTGTTATTTCACTGTATGGGAGACAGCCCCTGCAGGAGACTGGCCTAAATGGACCATAGCCCAAGAAGGGAGTTCATAATGACATGGCATTTGAAGGACAATAGGCTGAATCCTAATTGATTTTGCTTTCTGGCTATTTTTCTTTTTCATAAAGACACTGTGTCATCCCCAAAGACCTTCTAATGGGGAGTTATATCAGAAATGTGCAGTGTTAGAACTGCAAAGGATTATACAGATCTGCTATGTTATGAATAACATTCTGACCATGTTATGGCATCTCACTTCTAGATCTGGGTTTTGTCCAGGTCAGCAACCAGCAAGACCCCAAGTATCAGGTGCACTTGGGTGTAACTTGACTTTTCAGACCCTGCACATGTAGAGTGACAGCATTCTGACCCATGTGGCTTCCTCCTCCGTAGGCCAGGTTTCATCAGCTTCTACAGACCAGGTAGGTAAGGGCCACTTGGCTGCCTAGAAGCCTGGCTGAGCATAGTCCTGTTATACTTGGCCTGGGTCCCCACCTGCCTGCGATGAAGGGGGAGAGGCATCACTACTCTCTCATTCCTTACTCCTCTTCCCAGTGGGGTGGAGGAGCGGAAAGACTGCCTCCGAGTCGCTAACTCAGACCTAAGTGTAATGCCCATGACTGTTGGCTGCTATGGGTAATTCTACAGAGGTAAGTCAGACAGAGAAAGATAAACATCACATGATATTGATTATATGCAGAATCTAAAAAAAAAAAAGATACAGGTGAACTTATTTATAAAACTGAAATAGATTCACGGAGTTGGAGAATGAATTTACAGATTCCAGGAGGAAAAGTGGGGAGGAGGGATAGACTGGGAGTTTGGGATTGACATGTACACACTGTGACGTGTGTTTGTGCTCACTCAGTTGTGTCTGACTCTTTGCAACCCTTTGGACTGTAGCCCGCCAGGCTCCTCTGTCCATGAGATTTTTCCAGGCAAGAATACTGGAGTGGGTTGCTATTTTCTCCTCCAGGGGATCTTTCTAACTGAGGAATTGAACCCATGTCTCCTGCATGGCAGGCAGATTCTTCACCTGCTCAGCCTTTGGGGAAGCCCTGACATGTACACACTACTGTATTTAAAATGCCTTTAAATGGTTAATGCATATACATAGAATTTAGAAAGACGGAAATGATGATCCTATATGAAAGATAGCAAAAGAGCCACAGATGTAAAGAACGGACTTTTGGGCTCTGTGGGAGAAGGCCAATAGAGTGGGATGATCTGAGAGATCAGCACTGAAACATGTATATTACCATGTGTAAAATAGATGACTAGTGCAAGTTCGATGCCTGAAGCAGGGCACTCAAAGCTGGTGCTCTGGGACAACCCAGAGGGATGGGGGGACACACGTGTACCCATGGCTGATTCATGTCAATGTATGGCAAAAACCAATCACAATATGTAAACTAATTATCCTCCAATTAAAATAAATTAATAAAAAGATAAATAATCCATTAAAAAACCAAAGCTAAGCCTTTCCAATGCAGAGGAGGCGGGGATGGGGAAGTTTTTCAGTGACATTTTGTTGGACCTGAAGAATATGAGCTAGCAACTGCTGACTCCCTCCCCAGCAGTTCCCAGAGAGCTCTCCCTGTCATTCGTAATCAAATACCTTCAACTAGCATTCCACTTAAAATCTTGGGCCAGTTCTTCCTGGGATGTTTCTCGACCCCGTTGTTCTTCTCAGCCACAGAAAAGGCAAAAGGTCTCCTCCCGCTCTTTCCTCATGTGTCGTCCGGTCTGGCTCTGTGTATTGTTTGTCACTGATTCCATCTAATAAAAAATATCCTTCTGAATTCAGATAAAGTATGTGAAAATGAATCATCAGTGTTATCAATGTATGTAACAGTCCATTTACATTTTGAATTAAAGTATGTTTTTCTGGTTAGATTGAAAAATATATCCAGGTGGCAGCTCAACATTTCAGAATAGCTTAGAAATAATTACCTATATTAAGCAAATATGCTTATCCATCCAAGTCAGCTGCGAATTGACATTAAAAAAGTGAATAGATTATTGTGTTACTACAAATATCCTTTAAATAACTGCAATAAAATAGTCAAGTCAAACCTATTTCCTGGGGACAAGGGGGCATGTTTGAAAAAGCATGTTAAGGGGAGAAAATAAAAATGCCTTCAGTCAGATTAATCAGTAGTATCCACAACAGATATGCTAATGAACTTGATGATCAGATACAGAGCTTTCTCTAGAGATACAGACTATTTGTCAGGGCTATTCATTTTTTCTCCCACTGATTCTCATCAAATTTTGTGAACATTTATCATCTCTGAACAAAAAACAAAACAAACTCCTCTTCTTTCAAACCTACATGATTGTGGGTTATATAAATACTTTATGAGGAGCTTCCCCTGAGATCCAGCAAACTAGGGCAACTGCCCCAGACTCCAAGCTTTGAAAAAGACTAATCGACATCCACTCAATTATGCTGCTAAATATTACAGAATGAGAGTGAAGGGGAGCAACCAGTAAGGAAGGTATTTTTCTCCTAAAGCAAAAGATCTTGAGGCCTTTCTATAAGTACACATACTCAAGAGACAGACTCCAACATCATCACCAGTGTTAAGAAACACGGGACACTTCCTGTAATGATTTGTCTTCGAGCCTTCTATAATGTTTCAGATTTGTGTGTGTGTCTGTGAGAGAGAGACAAAGAGAGAGACTTTAATAAAGAAGCAAAGGAAGAAGAGTAATGACTCTGAGTTCTGCAATAATTAGATACAGGATCCTTGGGGACATTACTAAATCACAGACTCTTCATCCTTAAAATTTAAGGTTTTTTTTTTCCTAATCACTAAACCCAATGCCATAAAAAATTCTTTGTTGCCTCAAGGAGCAGAGGATGAGACTAGAGCGCCTCTAGTGCTCTAGACGGGTGGGAGGAAGAGGAATGAAGCAGGCAAGTTTAGAAAATGTGCATAACTTGATGGGGGCCTTATGGTCAGTGGAGAGTCTAGGTCTGAGTCTAGCTGCTGGGCTTCAAAGACTAACTCTGAACCTACTCCATTAAGGCCACAGTTTGTGATTGTCAACATAAAGTCAGTGATAAAAGTATATGTGCATTTATAACATCAAAATACAACCTTCGTGGTGAAATTGACTATGTGTTTATAAGACAGAAAATAGAATAAGTGTTGTCTTTACAACATGGCCTTTCTCACTGAGCTCAAACAGTTCAGAGAGATCACCTAAAATGCTGTTTACGTGTTAGGGTGACTCATCAAAACGTTATGTGAGAAATACCCTGACAGAGGCTATGAGGCGACTCCGTGGGAGTGCTGCTGAACATACCTTAGACAGACGCCTGCCGCACCTAAGCAGCACGTGCTGACGACTGCAGAACTATCCTTTCTTCAAGGCCACTAGACCTGCTCATAATACCCTCGGACAGAGAGTCACTTAAGACGCCTACGTGGTCAGCACAGTACAGTACACAGAAGAGGCAGGCCAAGCACTGTCTACAAAGGAGGGGTTTCATTTTGTCTCACTCTTCACACGCTTCGCTGAACCCCAGCTGGGCGAGGCGTGAGTGGGGAAGCTGGAAGAGACAGGAGCCATAGGGGTACAGACATTTTATTCTCTCCTGCCTGGCGCAGCGGCCACAGCAACAGACACACCGCATCCTCTCCTGGTTGACCCGGCGAACGGAGCCAATGCAGCCAGGACGCAGCCTCAACAACACACCCTAGGGCTTTCCAGGTGGAGCTTATATGTGCAGCCTCAACAACGCACCCTAGGGCTTTCCAGGTGGAGCTTATATGTGCTTGCAGAACAAAAGCAGCCTGTGGCCAATCAAGGATCTCCTGACACGCATGCGCAGTGTTATACGTAACCTAAACTGTTACGTAACCACCATATACCAAACGCGGGGCAGGAGCAAGAGGACGTGGAGCCGGAGAGCCCGACCACGCCAGCTTGGCTAATTTGCTCTTTCCCTACACATTTCCAAGAAAGTGTCTTGGATTTTAATGTTTAGAAAATTGTTATGTATAAATTAACATGAAATAGAGAAAAAGAAGGCAAAAATGAGTTGTCTTCATTGAAGACGTCACTCTGGCCCGACAGCCAAAGTCCCGTCAAGGTGCATTTTCAACATGTAGTTCTGTAAATGTTATCTCTTCGCACATTTCATATTCTGATTTTGACTTGAAACTGACATAATATATAACTTGTTCATTCTGAAAATTAACAGCACCTAAATTTAATATAAATACAATTACTGGGGCACTATTTCTAGACCTCAAATGTGCATTTCTTTCACTTAGCTTTAACAAACTACTTTTCTCACCTCACACCTTACAAAAGTTTTAGAATTTTTAGCAAGTTTTTAGTATTAAAAAATTCTTATCATGGAGCATGAGATTTTAAACTACTTATAACTGTGTATTTCTCAGAAAGAACTGATCAAAGGTAAATATAAAATAAGAATGACAATAGCACTTTTTAAAATAAAATTGGCTCTTAAAAATGTATCCAGAAATTAACCGGCAATGGAAAATTCTTAAGTCAAATACAATATGGTAGTGATTATTCAAAATCAACCTCTTCATGAAGACATGGTTAATGTTTGTGTAATTCTTTCTTCCACCTTCTATGTCAAGGGTCTGTGGAGATGACCCTCAAATCATGTGAAAGCATAAAACACCGACCCCTCCACAGATTTTACCTTGTATATTTGCTACAACAAAATTTCATTAAAGTTCTGGAGATGTTTTATTCCATCTGGAAGGAACTGCAGCATATATTTAATAATTACTGAAGACATGGGGAAAACAAGTCACTATGACCAGTAAATATAGAGTGTAGAAATTCAAAAACAAAAATTGTTCCAACATTCTAAATGAAACAACTGTCTGGTGAGCTGAAATATTTTAATTTTATTTGGAAACTATGGCATCATATATACAATCTAACAAACTGATAAGATATAAATCATGTTTATTGTTGAAACGTAAAGAAGCAACAGCAGCATTGTCTATTGAAAATGCAGGGAAATGATTTACTTTTGTAGAATAATGCTGTACCTTCCTCATCTTCTAGAACTTTTGATATACTTGAACAGGAATTATAAGCCATGATTTGTTAAAATCACCAACAACCCCTTTTCTCAGGTTCTATAATAAAACTACAAAATAAGTTTTAAAAATACTGAAAAAAGACCCAGTTGAATAGAATCGGATGATACTGTATGCCAAATGTAGTTATAGAGGTTAGAAATAACCAGATTCTTCAGTGGATAGAGAAGTACTAACTATGTGTTACCTTCAGGAATACAGGCTGAGTCTTGTAAAACCTGAAGAATGAGCACTTGTAAAACCTCTAAGTGAGATGACACAAAAACTGTCTTAGTAGCTTTCAGACAACTAAATAGAAATATCTCTTTACACAGTATATTGTCCTTTAACTAACATCCAGAGATAACACAATATTAAGTATTTGGATAAATTACTACATGTTATAGACTTGACAGTTCATAAAGGATGCTGAAGGTATTTGGAGCACACTGTTAAGCATATATCAGAAGGAAATGATATAAAATTCTTAGTGCCATGGTATAAAATCCTGGGCTCAGTGAGCATCACTGACTGATCCCAGATGGGGCAGTGCATAGGAACAAATCATATGAGCGAATTCTACTCAGCCTTTGGTGAGTAGAGGATTAGTTCCAATATGCCCCTTTGCTGAAGTCTTGAAGTACAAGTACTCACACTACTAAATGCCATGAGAATGTGAAGAATCTCCAAAAATTTCCTCTTCCATCATAAGTTATACTCTAATTCTTTCCATGGTTATTGAACACTGAAGATGGGCCCAGCATCATGCGAGGCAAGTATGGGTAAATGTGAAGACAGTAGAAAGATGACATATCTCATCTCAAGACGTAGAAGGCAAGGATTATGCCATTTATTTAGTCTTCAGTATAGAATATGTATAGTCCCAGGTGGTGCTAGTGGTAAAGAACCTGCCTGCCAATGCAGGAAACTTAGGACATGCGGGTTTGATCCCTGGGTCTGGAAGAAATGACAACCCACTCCAGTATTCTTGCCTGGAGAAGCCCATGGACAGAGGAGCCTGGCAGGGTACAGTCTACAGGGTCGCAAAGAGTCAGACATGACTGAGCGACTTACACACACAAACACACACACACACACGTATGTATGCGTGTATATATGTGTGTGAACATATATATATATATATGTATATAGTAAGTGAAATGAAATGTGTACATTATTGCCATTTCTGCTCCTATGATATACAGAAGTGCAGACACTTCTCTAGAGACAAAACTTTCTTAAAATAAGAGAGTTATTTCCCTGTATGAACAGTGTGGGAAATATAACTGATTTTTGGCTGTTTATTTGACTTTTGAAGCAGAATCAAAAAAGTCCTTGTGGTTCTCAATTACTCATTTCTTTGAAAATAGTAGATACTTGCTAAATATTTAACAGACTGAATAATTGCTGTAATCATGCTGAGACGGTCAGTTGAAAAGTATACAAGTAAATCTTCTTGTTTCATATATATTATGAGATAAAAGGTACTTCAAAATTGAAATTCAGTCAAATTAAATATACACACATACATGCAAGAATCTTTAAATTCTATTCAAAGTATTACCAAACGTATCATAAGAAATCTCGTTTTCCTATCAATAAGATATGAGGCTAGAAGAAAACAAGGAGGTCAGCCAGGTGTGCTATCTTCTTTAGTAGGTCAGAATAATTCTAGAGAACATTAGATTCAAACAGCAAAGGATACATTAAAAGATGTTTTGAAGGATAAATGGCCTCTGTTCATGCCCGTAACCTAGCCAGAACTAAATGAATTTCTAGCCTTGAATTTCCTTTCTTTGATCAACTAAAAGATTTTGAATACACCGAGCAGTTCTGCTCAACTGGTATCTGCAGTAATGACAGATAAGGAAAACACATTAAACCTGAGTTAATTAAAATGCTTTGGTTGTTTCACGGGAATAATGCTAATAAGGCTGCAGGGGAAAGAGAATTACAAACGTGAGATGGACACAAACACTTCAGTTAGGTGAAAGGAACCATGTGTTATCATACCTAAATGTTAACACATTAAGGAGTGAGGTTTTTCCCCACATAATTATTTTTAACCTATGAGGTCAAAAAACAGGTAGCTTGATTATATCACTTCACTCTTTTTTTTTTTAAGTGGTTCTTGTCATACATTGACATGAATCGGCCATGGATTTACATGTATTCCCCATCCCGATCCCCCCTCCCACCTCCCTCTCCACCCCATCCCTCTGGGTCTTCCCAGTGCACCAGGCCCGAGCACTTGTCTCACGCATCCAACCTGGGCTGGTGATCTGTTTCACCCTAGATAATGTACATGTTTCGATGCTGTTCTCTCAAAACATCCCACCCTCGCCTTCTCCCAGAGAGTCCAAAAGTCTGTTCTATACATCTGTGTCTCTTTCTGTTTTGCATATAGGGTTATCATTACCATCTTTCTAAATTCCATATATATGTGTTTTAGTATACTGTAATGGTCTTTATCTTTCTGGCTTACTTCACTCTGTATAATGGGCTCCAGTTTCATCCATCTCATTAGAACTGATTCAAATGAATTCTTTTTAATGGCTGAGTAATATTCCATGGTGTATATGTACCACAGCTTCCTCATCCATTCGTCTGCTGATGGGCATCTAGGTTGCTTCCATGTCCTGGCTATTATAAACAGTGCTGCGATGAACATTGGGGTGCACGTGTCTCTTTCAGATCTGGTTTCCTCGGTGTGTATGCCCAGAAGTGGGATTGCTGGGTCATATGGCAGTTCTATTTCCAGCTTTTTAAGAAATCTCCACACTGTTTTCCATAGTGGCTGTACTAATTTGCATTCCCACCAACAGTGTAAGAGGGTTCCCTTTTCTCCACACCCTCTCCAGCATTTATTGCTTGTAGACTTTTGGATAGCAGCCATCCTGACTGGCGTGTAATGGTACCTCATTGTGGTTTTGATTTGCATTTCTCTGATAATGAGTGATGTTGAGCATCTTTTCATGTGTTTGTTAGCCATCTGTATGTCTTCCTTGGAGAAATGTCTGTTTAGTTCTTTGGCCCATTTTTTGATTGGGTCATTTATTTTTCTGGAGTTGAGCTGGAGGAGTTGCTTGTATATTTTTGAGATTAATCCTTTGTCTGTTGCTTCGTTTGCTATTATTTTCTCCCAATCTGAGGGCTGTCTTTTCACCTTGCTTATAGTTTCCTTTGTTGTGCAAAAGCTTTTAAGTTTCATTAGGTCCCATTTGTTTATTTTTGCTTTTATTTCTAAAATTCTGGGATGTGGGTCATAGAGGATCCTGCTGTGATTTATGTCGGAGAGTGTTTTGCCTATGTTCTCCTCTAGGAGTTTTATAGTTTCTGGTCTTACATTTAGATCTTTAATCCATTTTGAGTTTATTTTTGTGTATGGTGTTAGAAAGTGTTCTAGTTTCATTCTTTTACAGGTGGTTGACCAGTTTTCCCAGCACCACTTGTTAAAGAGGTTGTCTTTTTTCCATTGTATATCCTTGCCTCCTTTGTCGAAGATAAGGTGACCATAGGTTCGTGGATTTATCTCTGGGCTTTCTATTCTGTTCCATTGATCTATATTTCTGTCTTTGTGCCAGTACCATACTGTCTTGATGACTGTGGCTTTGTAGTATAGTCTGAAGTCAGGCAGCTTGATTCCTCCAGTTCCATTCTTCTTTCTCAAGATTACTTTGGCTATTCGAGGTTTTTTGTATTTCCATACAAATTTATCACTTCACTCTTTAGAAAACTGGAGCAGTGACACTAGTGACGACACTGCACCTCTTTAGGTTAGCTTGTTAAACCAAACCTTCACCCTATGTGGTAGAAATCAGAGTCA